GTTAATCCATAATTAAGATACATTTGAAGCATGATAACACCGTTAATTTTGATGAAAAGATAAAGTTTAAAATACTTTATTTGAGTAACTATTGGAGAAATTTTATATTATTCATTGAGTAACTACTAATACTTACTCCATATGAAATAGATATACGCAAAGAAGAAAAAGAAATAAGAGAAAGAAAATTATAAAAAAAAAAATTGAGCTGAGCTGAAAATATTCTTATTATTTTTTATGGATCCAGATATAATTTTTTTTTTCGTGTCTCTTTTTTCAAAAGTGACCTTATGGAATAACTATTGCAAGTATACTATTAGAGCCAAAGTGAAAATATTTTTATTATTTTTAGTGGATACAAATGCGATTTTCTCTTTTTTTATTTTTTTCTCTCTTTTTTTAAAAATAGGCCTATATATGAAGTAAATATTGCAAGCATACTAAAAGAATTTTTAAAAATTTTATATGTTTATCTCTTTTATGAAATAAGTATTTATAGTTATTTCATGACACATAAGAGAATATATTGAAGAAAAAATATTAAAGTTAACTGAATTTTTTATACGAGGATAAAATTGAGAAAATATCTATTATTATATTAATACGTTTTCCAGAAAGATTTTTTTTAAAAAAGAAAAAAAAACGGAAAGGAAGGTACAAACAACGAATAAACTGGTCTGCCACACATTTATTACTGGGAGCATGAATGAAGAAACATGTAAGATGCTTGTGTAACCCACTCCTAAGAATCAAATGACTTTCCAAACCAACTTTCAATCCATATATTGCACATGATAAATATGGAAGTAAAACAGAGAGTATGGAATTTATGCCATTAGAAATATATGATTTATGTTTGGAAGGGAATAATGGACTGAAAATTGATAAGAACATGATAATTTGTAAAATGAATTCTGAGAAAAGATCAACGTCAAAAAGTGGAGCAGACAAGTCTCAAGTGAAACTCTAGGTAGCCCACAATTAGTATCAACTATGATACTAGGAGGGCGGCAGATTCATTGAAGGGAGCAACAATGGATGAATAAGAGGGCGGCAGATCCATTGAAGGGAAGCAAAAAATTTTGGCGAAAATGCCGGAATAACTTAATTTCATCCATCCACGTGTATAATGAGAACCAGACATAAAAAGAATTAGTTAATTAACTTTATAATTAGGAAAAGTTCCTTTATTATTATTTTTTAATGCATGCTGTGTTATAATAATAATAATAAAAAAAAATTTCTTCCATCATAGATAGAATTATTGTTTTTTTGCACGTGTACTAAAGATACACTTTTGAGAATGGATAATTAACCAACCATCGTATCCTCTTGACATGTTTTACATGATCAATTTACGAGTCATTGTGCAAATATATGTTTATTAATTTATGTTGATATTGCATTGATATTTTCGTTTCAGCTTTTATATCACGTTTTTTATTGATCTTCTTTTCACTATATTATATAAATTATGCATTGCATTATCTATATATTCTGCAGAATTTTCTTTTCTTCAAATGTTCCCTCTTGAAAATTCACCTTAGAGTTCCATGTCATCTCAAATCTGGGTAGCAAACTTCGCATGCCAAAACCTGACATTACTAGTAAAATATACCAATTCACACAAGTAGCTAGTTTTGTTTAATGACTAATATAGGGCTAAAAAAAAAAAAAAGGAAAAATCTATCAATGTATCCTTATATGTTACGTATTTTCTCAATTTTATTCTTATATATATATAAAATCAATCCCATCATAACATTTTATTTATTCATATTTTCAAATAGATGCCCTTTTATCCATTTCTTTTTTTTTTCCTTTTTAATGAAATTTTGTATTCAGAACTTCTATTAGTTTTTGTTTACGTCCTCTTCGTAAGAAATTTAAGTTAATCCATAATTAAGGTACATTTGAAGGATGCTAAGAAGTTAATTTTGATGAAAAGATAAATTTTAAAATACTTCGAGTAACTATCAGAAAATTTTTATATTATTTATGGAATAATTATTAATATGTATCCATATGAGAGAGATATAAACAAAGAAAAAAAATAGGAGAAAAAAATTTGATTCGAGATAAAAATATTCTTATCATTTTTTATAGATCCACGTACAATTCTCTCTCTCTTTTCGAAAGTGAGTTTATAGAATAATTATTGTAAGTATACTTGTTTAACCCAAAGTGAAAATATTTTTATTATTTTTAGTCAATACGAATGTGATTCTTTTTTTCTTTTTTTCTTTTTTTATCTTTTTCTTGAAAAATAGAGTTATGGAGTAACTATTGTAAGTATACTAAAAGACTTTTTAAAAATTTTATATCTACTATTTGTATTTATCTTTCTTATGAAATAAGTATTAATAGTTATTCCATGACTAATATAAATTTTTTCGAAAAAAAATATTGACTGATTGACACATAAGAGAATATATAGAAAACAAAAGATTACAATTAATTGAATTTTATGTGCGAGGATAAAATAGAGAAATTGTGTATTATTATATTAATACGTTTTCTAGATGGATAAATAGATAGATAGAGGATAGATAAACCCGGAAACGAAGGTACAAACAACGAATAAGCTAGTCTGCACACATTTATTACAGGGAGAATGAACGATGAAACATGTAAGATGCTTGTGTAACCCACTCCTAAGAATCAAATGACTTCCCAAACAACTTTCAATCCATATATTGCACATGATAAATATGGAAGTAAAACAGATGGTATGGAATTTATGCCATTAGAAATATGTGATTTATGTTTGGAAGGGAATAACGGACTGATAATTGATAAGAACATGATACTTTGTAAAATGAAAGATCAATCTCAAAAAGTGGAGCAGACAGTCTCAAGTGGAGCTCTAGGTAACCCACAATTAGTATCAACTAGCAAATATACGGTTCCCTTAGTGTTTTTTTTTTTTTTTTGGAAGGAGAAATGATGAGATTTTATTATTCGTCTTGCTAATCCTGCAAGCTGTTGGTATGCGATATTAAGATATGGGGACTGTGGAAAATATTCCAGATGTGTTATGGTCCTACAATGGATATCTCATATCTCACGGAGATCTCATCTCATTATTTTTTTTATCCATCTTCCAAGGTGTTGTCTGATTATATATTATCAAGTATTAGGTTATTGTGGAAAAAGCCAACGATGCGCCTCAAGTATCCCTAGCATTCCTATTTCCTAATATGTAAAGATTCTATATGTAATGAAGAAAACATAGATTAACCCATTAATTACAAGAAATTTTCTTTTTTTTTTTTTTTTTTGGTTCCATAAACGTCTCCTTTAGAGAAGTTCTTTGACAGCTCGTTTGTACAATGTAGGGTTGTAGAGGCTTGTAGCTTATTGGATGCTTGGTAAGAGAATTAAAAGAATAAAGAGAAAAGAATCGAAAGAAAGCAGCTAGCAGGGACAGACTGAGTGATCTCATATATATTTGTTGATTCCATCTAGCTATATATATATATATATATATATATATATATATATAACACATTTGCTAGGTGACTAAAGTACGGTTGAGCTATCTAATTAGTGCTATCACATTTTGCAAACAAGCTAGCCATTCGTTTGACTCACAAACCTTTTTCTGTTGCAGAGATATAGTAGTTTCATTAAAACATTACGAACCTATAATATAGATTAATTAATGTTTTTACTGAATCAAAATAGAAATAATAGTTAGAAAAAAAAAAAAAAGATTTGCCATAAAAAAATTCCAAACATATTTTAGTCATATGGTTATTAGTATTATGGAGATTACTATGGATCAGATTGAGGTTGGATTTTACCCTGTCTAGAGGACTTTCTCCCTCCCACATGTATCCAACCTGATGTCTTATATATATATATATATATATATATATATATATATATATATATATATATATATATAATTTTACGAAAATAAAATCTAAACTTGAAAAACATATTACATCTCCATACATAGATCACAAAACAATAGAATAAAATTTAAATTTCAAATCGATATATAAAATCATAAAACTTCTTTACAAATCATGGATTACGTTAAATAGAAGAGTTTAAAAATAAGGTCGGGTGATAGGATAGATGAATCCTTCATCTGCCTCTACATCTAACTTTATTCAAGTCAAATTGAATTTCATCTACCTTCAATTCAATTGAACCAAATAACATTAAATAATCAACTAATAAAAATTAAGTAGATTATCATCCTTTCAACAAGAGCTTCCGTTTTGCATGATATAGCAATAATATAGATTCTTTTATACGTTAGATGGAATAAATTTAGAATTATTATTATTTATTCTTTTAATAAAAGAGAAAAATATTTCAATAATTGTGGATCCACTTGGTGGATCTTCAACCCATACATAAGATATTATTCGTTTGCAAGGTTGAACGAACCATATTATGTTTCGATTGTCCAATTATGGGGCCAACGCTGTACTAGTACATTTGTATAAATCATAACATAAAATTCTAGAAAAAGGTAACAACATATTTAGGCTCCATTTTCAAATCAATCGCACATCATATCAGTAGCTACAGCTAAAACAAACCAAACAAAAGCAAAAGAATTGGAAAGAAAAAGGAAACAATAGCAAAAATGGCCAAATTGGACAGTGGTCGTGGTCATAGTCATCTTTCATGAAAACACTTTGTTTATGGGGGGTTATCTTTGTCCTTGCCTAATGCTAAAGAAAGTAACCAATAGAAAAACACTAAAAAGAACGTCTTTAACCACCCCACATAAAGTTGTATGACAAATTAGAGTCGCTTCATGGAAAATCACCACCCACTTCTTGTTGTACTTATATATATATATATATATATATTGATGGGAGAGTATCAATATTTCTTTGAGTTGAGGGAGTCATCAAATCTCCTATGCACAAAACTACCTTTGTCTTTCCTAACTCTTTCTTGGTGCTATATTGCTAGCCAATACTAAAGCAATCCTACAGGATCTAATTTGCTCAGAAAGTACTTTTGCAAGTAAAATGACTTCTCCAAAGATGAGTGAGATGAGAGAAGAGGAGAGTAAATCCTTAGGCATCATCTTTAGATATGCAGATTGGGTTGATATGTTGCTTATGTTGCTGGGAACAGTTGGAGCTATTGGAGATGGCATGTCCACAAACTTCTTACTGGTCTTTGCCAGCCGCATAATGAATAGTTTGGGTTATGGTAAGACCCGACAGCACAATGAGAATTTCATGGTTGAGGTCCAAAAGGTTAGCAACTAGCTTGCCAGTCAACATTTTCATTCCTCTCTCTCTCTCTCTCTCTGTTGCTATGACTAAAACATAGATTTCCCTTTTTTTGGTTTTGTCAACAGTGCAGTTTAGACTTTGTGTACTTGGGATTAGCAGTCATGGTGGTGGCTTTTATGGGTAATTTCGATATATCACTTTGATCTATACACATGACTTTGCTTTGCTTTCTCAAGACAAGGTGTGTTTGGAAATGTGGTGCAAACAAATTCCATCCATTGATTGTGTACCAAAGAACACTTCCAAGAACAAAAAGGGTCATGCAGCAAGCATCACTACACAGTACAAACAAGAATAAAACAAGAAATGAGATCATTTTGTGGAGCCCTGGATATCAATGCTACCAAATTAAGAAACAGATGTGATTAATTGAGTTCATAAAATAAAATGCCTTAATTTCTCCTGCACTGAATCAGTTTATGTTATGTTCACAGAAGGCTATTGTTGGAGTAAAACAAGCGAGCGACAAGTTTTGAAGATTCGATACAAGTATTTGGAAGCTATTCTTCGACAAGAAGTTGGGTTTTTTGATTCACAAGAAGCTACTACATCAGAGATCATCAACAGTATATCAAAAGATACTTTTCTCATACAAGAAGTACTAAGCGAAAAGGTAAAAATAATTAAGGTTTCTTAATTTTCTTTTATGGATAGATAACCATTTAGGTTCTATATATGGATGAGCTAGATTGACAAGTTTGTTCCACCCTTTTCCTCTTGCTTCCCTTTTGATCTTCCTTTGATGTATAAATGTTATCAAGTATGAAACTACTCCAAGATCTCTAATTCTTTACTCATTTTTATTGATAGACTCATAAATACTTGCACTTATTTAACAATATCATCATCCGTCATGTTTTTCAGGTGCCCATATTTTTGATGCACGCGTCTGTGTTCATCTCAGGACTTGCATTTGCCTCCTACTTTTCATGGAGACTATCCTTAGTAGCCTTCCCAACTCTTCTTCTGCTAATCATCCCTGGAATGATTTATGGAAAATACCTTCTCTACTTGTCAAAGAAAGCTCGGAAGGAGTATGGCAAAGCAAACGCTATCGTTGAGCAGGCCTTAAGCTCCATTAAGACTATTTATTCATTCACTGCCGAGAAGAGAATCGTTGATCGATATTCAGCAATATTGGATAGGACAGCAAAGTTGGGAATCAAGCAGGGCATAGCAAAAGGACTAGCAGTTGGGAGTACAGGGCTTTCTTTTGCAATATGGGCTTTCCTTGCTTGGTATGGAAGTCATTTGGTCATGTACAAACGAGAAAGTGGAGGGAGGATCTATGCTGCTGGCATTTCCTTCATATTGAGTGGATTGTGAGTAGCTTTATGATTGCATCGTAGTAAATTTTTTTTTCCCCCTTACATTTTAGACTTGTGCATGGTGATCAGTTAAAATAATGGCGTGTCTAGTGAGGTGTTAAATGAATCTTCTGTAGATAATTTGAGATGAATCTTCAGTAGATCCTTCTCAAATTATCCTTAATTATCTAATCTAGTAGATAATTTCATGTAATAATAGGTTCATCAAAAGCTTAAACATACATTTATATTTTTGGTAGCCATTGAACCTAGCTAGTTGCAATTCCTAGACTGAGAAAAAGCTCTCCCAACTTTAACAAAGTGGTCATGAAAGAATTCATTTGAAATTAGATTGCATATTCTCACACTACACGTTTTATATATAATCCGTCTCCGTACTTACTTTGTATTGGAGCAAGGATTTCTTACTGTTGATTCCTATTGAAAGGGTCTAGAAATCTGTTGAATGTGCTTTGTGATTTAGCTTTTCCACCATACGTATGCGTACTAGGACACACCTTGTGAAGCTTTCGCCAATAGTTGATGCAAATTAACAAAATGTAAAGCCTTTCATTTAGACATTTATCTCATCAGGATTATGATTAGACCAAAATATTCTGGTACTTGAAGTTTCTTTTAACCTTAATTCACGTTACGTAGTTTGTAATTGCCAATCGATCCTGAAGCTGGCCTTGGACCTTTAAAATTGTGTCCTAAGCCAATCAGGTTTGAGCAAAGTGTTCCAATGCCTTTGTCGAAGTACAAAGTCAATGACTTTATGCTTCTATTAAAACAACACTCAAGACTGCATCTGAAAATTTGAAGGACAACTCACAACCCAGGTCTATATATGGGTCATCAAATATGTCCACATTAGTGGAAATCCTTCACCAAAAATGATTGTTTTTTATACTGCCTTTCTTAAAAATTATTGAATCATGAAAATGTCTAATTGAAGGAATATTTTTACAGGATTAAATTTCTTGAAAATCAATGACAGAAACTACAATGACAAACGTAATCATGAATTAAGTGAATACATATAAGAGTCTTCATCAAATATTTATATGCTTCTTTACCACAACGAAATAAAGATATACTTAGTAATCATGTTTTCACATGCATATGGCTTCACAACCTTTGTTTAATTTCTTTCTCGATCTCCCTAAGCATGCGTTTACACTTCCACTACTATTTTTGTAAACCTCTACATTAACCTAAATTTTTAAAAGCACTCATTTATCAAAGGTATAGTCATGTCATTCTTTTATAAAGTGAATAATCTCTTAAGAACTTACTTTTGCCTTTTCTTCTTTTTCTAAAGAAAAGGAATGAAAAAACAATACTATTTATGCGGGAGTTATAATGTCAACTACACAAGGTTTAATTTGGAAAATATCTAAGGATATTGAAACTGTTTAAGTACAAGGAAGTCGGAGATATTAAGCTTAGTGAATTATGATGCTAAATGGAAGGTAGGTAATGCTAAGAACAGTAACAAGATTAGCAAGAGAGAGAGAGAGAGAGAGTAGATGTGAAATTGTTAACTAGCTAGTACTGTTTATCAGTAAATTGCCAGAATTAAAGTTAATGTTTGTGGAAAAAAGAAAGAAAGAAAGTAAATGTTGGACATGTCTCTACTGGTATGCATCAATATGTTTTCCTCTAGAATTTCCGTGGAAGTCATCATCTGCCTAACAAGATTATTAAAGAAAAAAAATCCAGTAATCCATTTTATTTAAATATTTAACAATTGAATTGCATGCAGATCCCTTGGAATGGCACTTCCTGATTTGAAGTACTTCACAGAAGCTTCTGTTGCTGCTACACGGATATTCAAAAGGATTGATAGAGCTCCAGAAATCGATAGTGAAGACACAAAAGGACTTGTCTTAGGCAAAATTAAAGGCGAAATTGTGTTCCAGGATGTTAGATTCACATACCCTTCTCGTCCAGATGCCATCGTTCTCAAAGATTTCAACCTGAAAGTTGAGGCAGGAAAAACAGTTGCTCTTGTTGGAGCAAGTGGGAGTGGAAAGTCCACTGCAATTGCGTTGCTCCAGCGATTTTATGATGTTGATAGTGGCATTGTGAAGATTGATGGTGCTGATCTGAGAACATTGAATTTGAAATGGATAAGGGGACAAATGGGACTTGTTAGTCAAGACCATGCTTTGTTTGGGACATCAATAAAAGAGAATATCATGTTTGGGAAGCTTGATGCCACCATGGATGAAATCATGGCTGCTGCTATGGCTGCAAATGCTCACAACTTTATAAGGCAGCTTCCAGAGGGGTATGAAACAAAGGTATTCAAAAGTTGAAGTCATTTGTCTATCAATCTATATACCTAAGATTGGTATAGCCACCTTAAAGGGTGTTTACTTCGCAGTCACTTGTTCCAAACAATTCTATATGCATGTTTGATTAGCTAGTTTTTTCTTGTATGTAATGTTGATCAGATGAGAAATAATGTTAAAGGCAAGAATTTTGTGTAATAGGTTGGTGAAAGAGGAGCATTCCTTTCCGGGGGACAAAAGCAGCGAATTGCCATTGCTAGAGCAATAATCAAGAACCCTGTGATTCTCCTACTCGATGAAGCAACCAGTGCTCTCGACTCTGAATCAGAAACACTGGTCCAAAATGCACTTGATCAAGCGACCATGGGAAGAACTACTCTGGTAATTAATTTCTACCACTCTTGCTGGTGAATTATGAATGATTGGAACCAAAAATAATTCCTTCAAAATTGTTGGTAATTAATGTTTCTACCTGCCAAAATTGGATCATTAATTTTCCACTCTTAACTATATCACTGAATAATGTTCAGGTTGTTGCACATAAGCTCGCTACAGTTCGAAATGCAGACCTCATTGCAGTCGTCAACGATGGTTGTATCATTGAAATAGGTTCGCACAATGATCTCATCAACATACAAAATGGCCACTATGCCAAACTAGCAAAGTTACAGAGACAATTCAGCTGTGATGAGCAAGAGCAAAATCCTGAAACTCGCATTTCTTCAGTTACAAGAAGCAGTGCCGGTAGGCAAAGCACTGGAAGATCAAGTCCAGCTGCCTTTGCTTCGCCATTACCTGTTGTTGATAGCCCAAAACCTCAGTCCCACCCTCCGCCTTCCTTCTATCGGCTTCTTTCTTTAAATACACCTGAATGGAAGCAAGGCCTAATGGGAAGTATTTCAGCTATAACATTTGGTGCTGTGCAACCTGTCTATGCGTTAACCGTTGGTGGAATGATTGCAGCTTTCTTTGCACCAAACCATGATGAAGTGCGGGATCGAATACGTACATATGCTTTAATATTCTGCTCTCTTTCCTTGATTTCTATCATCGTAAATCTTGTGCAACACTACAATTTTGCATACATGGGTGAGAAGCTAACCAAGAGAATCCGATTGAGAATGCTAGAGAAGATCTTGAGCTTTGAGACAGCTTGGTTCGATGAAGAGCAAAACTCTAGTGGGGCTTTATCCTTAAGATTGAGCATTGAAGCCTCCATGGTTAAAACCCTTGTCGCTGACAGGGTCTCTTTGTTAGTTCAAACCACTTCCGCAGTTACCATAGCCATGATAATGGGGCTAGTTGTGGCTTGGAAGCTTGCAATTGTTATGATAGCGGTTCAACCCCTGACAATTCTGTGTTTCTACGCCAAGAAGGTTTTGCTCTCTAGTATTTCAACAAATTTTGTCAAGGCACAAAATCAAAGTACTCAAATTGCTGTGGAAGCAGTCTATAATCACAGAATCGTGACTTCATTTGCAAGTGTGGGAAAGGTACTTCAACTTTTTGATGATGCTCAGGAGGAACCAAGGAAGGAGGGCAGGAAAAAATCATGGTTAGCAGGAATTGGTATGGGGTCTGCTCAGTGCCTAACATTCATGTCATGGGCTCTAGATTTTTGGTTTGGAGGTACTCTAGTGGAAAAGGGAGAGATATCGGCAGGAGATGTGTTCAAAACATTTTTCATTTTAGTGAGCACCGGGAAGGTTATAGCTGAAGCAGGAAGCATGACTTCAGATTTAGCCAAAGGTTCAACAGCAGTGGCATCTGTGTTCCAGATTCTGGACAGACAATCCCTAATTCCAGGTTCTTACCAAGTAAGTTACATTTCTTACATGCTGGAAATAATTTTCAAGTTAATTTTTTTAGCATACACAAGATTATTATGGAACAAATTTCTGTTTACTAACTAGTTTGCAATTTCCGTTAGGCCGGTGATAGAAGTAGTGGAACCAAGTTAGAAAAAATAACCGGAAAGATAGAAATGAAGAAGGTTGATTTTGCATACCCAAGCCGGCCGGAGACCCTAATACTTCGACAGTTTTGCTTGGAGGTGAAGCCAGGCACTAGCATTGGACTAGTAGGAAAAAGTGGAAGTGGAAAATCAACGGTGATTGGATTAATTCAAAGATTCTATGATGTTGAGAAGGGGTCAGTAAAAGTAGATGGAGTGGACATAAGGGAACTAGACATTCAATGGTACAGGAAGCACACAGCCCTTGTCAGCCAAGAACCCGTGTTATATTCAGGCAGCATCCGCGACAACATCATGTTTGGGAAGCTTGATGCTTCCGAGAATGAAGTGGTGGAGGCTGCAAGAGCTGCAAATGCTCATGAGTTCATCTCGTAAGTCCGTTTTCCTTGCATTTTGAGCTTCATATATATATTAATTATGTGCTAAATAATTTGTGAACCTTAATTTGTAATTATGTGTAGATCACTTAAAGAAGGGTATGAAACTGAATGCGGTGAAAGAGGAGTGCAATTATCAGGAGGACAAAAGCAAAGAATAGCAATAGCAAGAGCTATACTTCGGAACCCAACCATGTTATTGCTAGACGAGGCAACAAGTGCTCTTGACGTTCAATCAGAGCAAGTTGTCCAAGAAGCACTGGACCGAATCATGGTTGAGAGGACTACGATTGTCGTAGCTCACCGGCTTAACACCATAAAAAAACTGGATTCCATTGCCTATGTTGCAGATGGGAAGGTGGTGGAGAGAGGAACTTATGCTCAACTAAAGAACAAGAGAGGTGCCTTCTTTGACTTAGCTAGTCTCTAAAGCAAATCGACGTGCATCGCTAATTATGCAATATATAATTGTAGCGCTACTAATCATGTTTAAAGAAGGATATTGAGATGGAATTACTACTACTTTGAAGAACTGTGATATTGTAGATATATAAATTATATTTTGGTATCCCATAATTAATTTATAGTGTTATCTAATAAAACCACCAATTTAGCCCATGTATTAATTTGTGCCAATTAGACAAATGAGCTCCTGTAAACAATTTCATCAAATTTACTTATATATTCATCTCGTATCCTCAATTCATCTCAATTGAAGTTAATGCATTGCAAGCAATATATTCATTTTCTATAAGACCATTTACTTACAATTTAATCCAATTAAATCTAGTTGACGTTATTTGTTCATCTTAAGAAAATTGAGGAAATGATTTTTCGCAGCTAGTTTGTCAAATTGAAATAAACATATATATAGGGACACTAGAGACGTTAAAGGGAGTAAGTTATAAATTAGTCCCTTTAATTTTGAAAAACAAATTAGTTAGTTTATCTTATTTCAAAAACTAATTTTTTATTTTTTTAACTAGTATATATTAACCATGCTTAATTTAATATTATTCTACTTCAAAAAAAAAAAAAAATCTTCATCAATATAGAAATAAAAAATTTTATTTTTGAAACAATAAGAATTAATTAATTCTTTTCTTTTTTTTAAGATTAGAGGAACTAATTTTTAGTTTGCTCAAGTTAAGGAGGGACTAAATGTTAACCTATCTAGAGAGTAACTAAAATGATTATTAGTAAAGTGTGTTTGCATAACATAATCAACAAATTAATGAGCTTTAGGAACTTTTTAATGGCCTTAAAAAAATCCAGTTGTTGATAAGGGAGGTTCGGATCGAAATAATGGTGTAAAAAATAAGGATAATGTTAATGGATTTAACAAGCCATAATTAAGGGTATATATGGGTATCAAAATGTGGGGGGAGAAGGGAGGGGGAGGTTATGTTGGGTTCATGAATAATGGTTACATGGGAGATAATTTAGGGTATCAATAATCTAAGTATGTAATGCGACGTTACCACTCGATCGGAGAGATTGTCGATCGTTGTGACATAAGGACAAAAAAGGTTCACACTAACAATAACATAATAGATCCCTTGGCTAAGTCTTTGTCATAGCAGAAATATGAAACTCTTGTTCGATTGTCGGATATAAGAGACATGACTAGTTGGCTTATTGTTAGTGTAGGTGTTCAAGATCCAACTTATTTGAATTGTTTGATGTATTGTAATATTGCATTTTCTATATTAAAAAAGAAGTCTTCCTATTAATTCATATTATTTATAATTTGATAGAATGAGATAAATGTCAATATCATATGCATTGCATTAACAATTAATCAATTGATGTGAGACAAACATTGATGTATTTAAATGATATCATTAAATGTCCGAAGTCATAGCATATAGTAAGACTTGTGAGTGTTATGCTCTTTCTATAAATAACGAGTAAGAGATCTCACACCTATTGACATGATGATGCCTAAGTAAGCACTTAGGTGAATAATGTTAGAGAACATATTACTAGACATGACTCGTTATGAGAACTTATTTTGTTTAGTCTATGGGAATCTCATACGAGATGAGTACAAATGATCTTTTGGCTTGAAGTCATTCCGATTGTCTTATTAGAGGATTGGTGTACTCTAGCATTCGTTTTCTCGGGCTCAATAAATAGCTGCACGTGGATAATTCATTGGGTGCATTAGGAATCTAATGGAGATAAGTGGATGATTGAGATATGACATGTCATTTCTTATATGTTAAAGTAGTTATTACATTGTACTTTGATGAATATTTATCGAAGGAATTCGTGGCTACAGTAGAAATATACTAATAGAGCATAATTGATTTACTTGTGACCTAAGACATTTTGGAGATCGAATAAATTTATGTGTGAAGGACCATGCATCCCATAGAGGAGTAGAATAAAACAAAAATTTTCCTCCATCTAAAAGGTCCAAGATCATATCCGTTAAATAAACTAGCCATATATTCATCAATTAAAGTGTTAAATAAAGAATTATCACTTGTAACACGATTGAAACCCTTACGTAAAAGGAGTCATCCAAGTGTCTAACCTCTATCGATAATCCATACAGTCCAATCACCCATAAAAGAAGCACTCAAAATTAGCAGATGATAGCTTGACATTTTTTGACTTGTTTAGTTTTTTTTTCTTTTGAAATCTAATCTGGGTAATTTTGCAACAATCCTAAGAGAGAAAGTGAAAGTAGCATGTGTTAGGGTTTTTGGAGAAAAAACTATTTTCTCTTTAATTTTTGCTCAATCCCATATGCCTTAAAATTTTCTTTCTTTACCATTTTTCTCTCTCTAAAAAATCTCACATGTTGCCACACCTCTCCTCCTATTTATAGGGAAAGAGTTTTCCTTATCCTCCATGGACAAAGAAAAGTGGCTACTAGTTCTGAAAAGGACTCTTGGTTATTGCTTCTTAATTCTCTAAGGATTATGAGTTATTATTCATGTGAACCTTTTGATCTTATCCTTTAAAAAATTCATTCTTATCTAATAAGATTCATGTTTATCCTCTAATCAAAATATCTTTCGAGCTTTTAATTAAACCTATTGGCCCAAAAAATTTTAACCTAATTAATTAATTTGGACTATCCAAGTAATTAGGTTAGATAATTTTAGGAGACTCACATTAGAAAATAATTTTCTAAAATACCATTAATGCTAAATTAGGAAAATAATTTCTTTTTAGGTTATTTACTTTCAAATTTGAAACTCGACTTCCAAATTAGGATACTAATTTCTAAAATGGAAAACTTTTCATTTTAGAAAAATTTTATTTTTGAAAACTTTTTTTCAAAATTAAAAACCTTTTTCAATATCTTTGTTTCTCTTTTATTATGTAAATACTTAAACTTATGCGTGTCAATCAATAGGCTCCTAGAGATATTGACAATGTACCAAGAATAAAAGGCACTTCTTTTATTTTTTAATATATAAATTAAGATTGACCCCTATCAAGACATTATGACTATCCAATTCTCTAGGAGGATTAATAAATTTATAATTACCTTTCACGAGCATGGTTACCAAACAATTTAGTCCTTATGTCAACTTATTATAGTGTGATCTTGAACTTCGTTATTAGTCTTATTCGATTATGATCACACAAGTTTTCTTCGATTCTCAAATGTCTTAACTCTTAGAATAAACCAACTATGCTCTATTGATGTACTCCTACCGTCACCACGGATTTATTAAGCGGACATTCATCGAAGTACAATATGATTACTACTTTAGCATATAAGGAATGACATGTCTTATCTTATTCATCCACTTATCTTCATTACATTTCTAGTGCACCTAACGAATCACCCACATGAAACCCTTTACTAGGTCCATCGAAATGAGTATCAAAGTATATAAATCCTCCAATGAGATAACTATGATGACTTTAAGTTCAAGGATCAATTGTACCCATCTCATATGAGATTCCTATGGATTAAACCAAATGGGTTCTCGTGGTGAGTCAAGTCTAGTGATATATTTTCTAATATGAATCACCTAAGTGCTTGCTTTTGCATTATCATGCTAATAAGTGTGAGATCTCCTACTGCTATTATATAACAAGAGCATAGCACTTATAAGTCTAACCACATATAGTCAATGTTCATTCTTGATAATGCTATGACTTAAGATATTTAAAGATATCACTTATGTGCATTAGTGTTTGTCTCACATCTTTTGATCAATCACTAATGCAAATGCATATCATAAGGATTTTTATCTAATTCTATTCAATAAATAAATATATAAGATATAAGAATTAATAAAAAGACTTTTTTTATTAATAATAAAATAAATGATGTAATAATACAATAACTCAAAACTATCCAAACATAGTTGGATCTTGGGCAACCACACTAATAATCTCTCACTTGCATTAGAGCCAACCAACCATGTCTCTTAATCCCGATAATCAAGTAAAGGACTCATATTTTAACTTTGAAAAAAAACTTAGTCAAAGGATTAGCTATGTTGTCATCAATATAGATCTTTTTTATCCTTATGTTGCCACGATTGATAATCTCTATAATATGATGGTAGCATCATAGTATATGCTTAGACCATTGATGAGACCTTGGCTCCTCAACCTTTATTATGGAGCCTTTATTGTTGGTCATCAAGCTATATGACATTGGAATAACTCGTATTTGATTTTTTTATACTAAACCTTTTAATATTATGTAATTGTATCCACCTTAGGAGACCTCTCACATGCCTGAGTGATCTATCTCTATAGATCTCGACTCTTAGAATGTATGTTGCCCACCAATTTCTTGGTTGGGAAAATTCTTTTTAAATATCTCAATCTATTATGCATTGCAACATGATAATGTTCAAAGTCAAGAAGTAGTTTATTTAATTTTTATGTAGAATAAACATGATTTGTAGGCTCCCACTAACCTTTTGTATACATAAGATTTATCTTTATTTTTGTGAAAGTATCAAACTCTTTTATTATTTCACCAAAACATTGATTCTTTTTCCTAGAGGCATGCTTAAGTCCATAGATAGACCTTTGCATCTTGCAAATCTTAGCTACATGTTCTTTAGAACCATCGGGGTAAGTCATCTACACACTTTTTTCGTTTGCCATTTCTATAAGTCAATGTCTAGCATTATCTTTTAATAAGTGTTAGCTTTGTTATCACCTTTTAGGGTACATATCACCATGTATTGAGATAAGAAAATCATATCATTTTGTCCTTTGATGAGCTTCGTTTTGACTTATGAAGTTATTATGTTTTTATTTGTGGGTAGTTACAATATTTTGCAACATATCTATTTAGGATTCCATTAATGGGTGTTAATTTATGAGTCTAGTCGAATCTCATTGAGTTCTAATTTTCTCTCACTATTTCTAGCATCCACAAATTCCTTTTTAAGGAAAATAACATTCGTAGTTACGAACAACACTTTATTCTAGTAT